CAGTGCTGAAAGGGAGGACAGCTGGGGTCATTATTTGAGTAGGTGATAGCATTTTGCTTGTAAGCCACAGATAAAGTGTTCCCACTCTCTGTTTCAGGTTATAAAGTAGATCAGGCTGTTCTGGAGCATAAGTTTACCTTCACAGGAAATCCATTGTTCGGAAAGAAGCTAACGGAGCTACCACACCCTGTGCACACTGATGGAGCTCTCTGATAACTCCTGGCTCTCCAACAGACACGAATAACTAGAAATTATCTGATGATGCTATTGTTAAAGCTCCAATATTGAAAATCCTGTAAGAGATGGTGGATTTGTTTCTACAAACTTACTGAACTTTGACTGAGCAAGGAAGCAAATTGCCAAGTAGAAATTACAATGTACAGTCCAATGCAGAGCCAAATCCAGAATAAATTACTGGAAGTTAGCTGGAAGAGCAAACCCAAGGGGGCCAAGTTCTTCTTAAAGGAAAAGAATGGCCTTTGGTACCTCAGGGACAAAAATACAGACAGTCCAGTTGCTTCCTGCTTCTTGTAGGTCTATACAAAAAGCAAACTACCCAGAAGAAACACTGTTGTATTTTTAAGCATTCAAAAATAAATTTCACTTTCCCCTTTCCTCTGAGGCAGAAATGGGAGCCAAGTAAAGCTAAGAAATCTTTGTGTTGTGCTGCTGATGAACAAGTGTATCTTCACAGTTTCATAGAGGAAAACAGTGACTGGAAGAGAGAGTTAACACAGCTTTAAGGTACTTTGCAAATAATGCAGACACTAGAACTCTTTTTAGTATCATGCAATTACATCGTAAAGCCGCACAAGAAATCCTTGAGAATAAGTGTCCTTTGTACCAGCCAATATGGCGTTGTGCTTTAGAATTGTGACAGAAGCAGTGTTGATAACAAGCGATGTTTTAGTAGTTGCTGAGCAGTACTTGCACAGCATCAAGGTCTCTGCTTCTCACTCCAGCCAGCCAGCAGAGAGGCCTGGTGAGCAGGCAGCTGGGAGGGTATGCAGAGGAAAAAGCTGGCCCCAGGGCTAGCCTGTCCCACAGAGCCTGTGCTCATCAATAAAAGCATGGGGGAAAGGCTTGCCAGAGCTGCCATTGCTTGGGGGCTGGTTGGGCATCAATAGATTAGTCCTTTGCATCACTTGTTTTTCTTGGTTATGTTTTTCTTTCTTTCTTTTCTTTTCTTTTCTTTCTTTCTTTTTTTTTTTTTTTTTTTTTCTTTTTTTTTTTTTCCTTTCATATATATATGTTCTAAGCTTTATCTCATGCTTGGATTTTCCAGCTTCTGCTCTTCTAATTTTCTTCCCCCATCCCACTGGAGGTCAGTGAGCAACTGCCTACTAGGGTTATGCCACAATAAGCAATTTGTTTATATGATTCTTATGAATATCTTCTAAGTATTTACTGTGAAAAATTTGTTTTTTAAAATTATATACTACCTGGGCTTCATATACAAACAGCTTGACAAAATGTGAGCAGATTTTTAGAGGAAAAGATGAAGTTATATTTTTTCACTGTAATAATCCTCAGAGATTTGGAATTCTGACTCCAAAATTTAAGGTAATTTAGAAAAGAAAAAAGAAAAAAAAAAGGGGGGGGGGGGGGGGGGGGAGGGAGACAAAGCTTTGAAAATGCCAGTCCAAATGGTAGACAGTTTATGAAACAAATATTTCTGCTATAAGCAACTGACATGGGGTCTTGAAGTGGGAAGTGTTGGGCAATCTTCAAGTGCACTGTGCACGCTGCTGGTGCAGCAGCATGCAGGTTGCATAGCTGAGGTTTCATCCTGTAGTAGCTCTTAGTGTGCATAATTTTGGATGATCCAAAACACTTCTGAATATTTTCTGGTTTAATTGCTCATCTGTGGTGATAAATGACAGTGTTCATATAGCTGTATTATTTGTGACTCAATACTGGGAGCTGACCTTTGCTGTTCTACTGTGACACAGACTGCTGCTGTGCTGGTGAATCTGTCCAGCAGTATTTTCCACATAACCACAGGCACCTCTAATCTTCACTGAGCATCTGCAATGTGATTTTGTGATTATGTGACCTGCCCACCTCATTTTAATAGCATTTGTACTTCACTCCTTTTGACCTTTAAGTGCTACTTGCTGCAAAACCAGCGTGTAGTCAGAAAAAAAGTTGTAAACCATGTCAAAACTTGTTGGAATTCAAGGTAAAGCATTGCAAGTGTCAAGAAAGAACAAGTTCACACTGATTTATATAAACACTTCATTCAAATGCTTTGAATACAGATAAACATTCCTTGTGCAGTATTTGTTATGGTTTCACCTGCTTTAAGCTGGAAACTGAAAGTGTTTTGCTAAATGGGACAGAAAAGTGTGTTGGGCTGATCTAGAGCTGCAAGTGCTTCCTGATGTTATGAAAATATCCATGTTCCTGAAGTACTCATATCTTCCAGCAGCAGTGCTTTTCAGTAATTAAAAAAAAAACCACATTTTTTTTCCCTGCAGAGCAGGAACCATTACCTCATAGTGCATTTACAGAGACCGGCTGTGCATGATGCCTGATGGCATTTCCTTGAAAATAAAGTATATGATTTGATGACATTGTTTCACTGCCGTGTATGTAAGTCTTAGTTAAAATGTTTCAGAAGTCTTCTAACATTACACAGTTGACACAAGAAGAAAGCCTGTATCCTCTGAGCACTGAATGTAGGCATTGGGTGTTCTGTTGTGTGTGTTTAAGGCAGACGAATGTCTTTACGTTTCATGTTAAGGTGCTACTTGGAGTAATTTCTGAGAAAGAGGACATCTCACCAGAGTGAAACTAGATTCACTGCGCTGAGCTTCCACCTGCTGAGTAGAAGTACTACCACTGTCTTGCTGCCTTGATGCCAACAGGTTTTGAGTATGTATCAGTTACAGGCAATGTGTTAAGACTGTGAGGTTAACCACTAGGAAATGAACACAGGGCAACAAAACCTAAAAGCGTCTATCTTAAAACTGCAGAATTGTGTAACATAATTGTTTCCTAATCATAAGCATGAGAAAGTGCCGCAGATTGTGGTATAAATTTCCCTTCACAGCTTCTTAAGCTTTTCCTGAACTAGTAATTTAATTCTTAATTACAATTTTCTCTGTTTAGCTTCCCCATTGGTTTTTTTTAGGGGGTGAGGCACTAGGGTGTTTTTTGAGGGGGTGTTGGCACTAGGAAAATGGAGGAATATTAAAGCAGTCATTGCCTGTTAGACAGAGATCAGGGACTTTTGAGATGCTGACAGAGCTGGTTACATAGAGGGGCTCAGATGCTGCATAATTTTGTGGTTTATATGCTGTACATGGCAGAAGAGGTAGCTGGAGACAGATCTACATCCATTGGATGGCACATAGCTTCCCTGGTGCTGCAGTGATAATAGCCACAATCTCGATGTTAGCTGGAGAATCTGCATCTGTGTGTCTGCAGTGTCCTTTATCTTTGCAATTCAGTGTGATTTAGGCATGAGTTAAAAAGATTGAAACATTTCTGGGAATGTGCAGGAAACATAAGTGAAGAAAACTTAAGTGCTTTTGAACTTCAGAAATATATGTTGTCACTTACTCTTGATTTCACTTTTTCTGAATTTCACTTCAGTCTTTTTTTGATCTTGAATTCATATTCTTGGCTTAAGCTTGTGCAGTCAGGACTAAAGCACCTAATTCTTTTATTTTTATTCTTTTTTTGTTAAGAGGACAGCCTTATCATAAATGTCTCTCTAGATTTGAACAGGCTCTATGATGTACAGAAATCCTTACCTGCACATGCACAGCAGATTTTATTAGACTTGCTGAGTTTAGCAACAGATTAAATTTGCACTTTTGACGTCCCTTATTTAGCTCCTTGCAATGGCTCAGCCAATGCTTACTGACTTTTATGTACTGACACCTTCATTAACCATAGAAATGATATCTTTGCCTAGATACTCCTTGTGTATGGTTACTGTACCTATACAACCACTACCCAAATCACCAGATTTGCCCAGGCCATGAATATAATAAGGAATGATAAGGAAGTCTTATTCTTAAAGAATAAGAACATTCGAGTGCTATTTGTTGAATTGGACAATGGCCACATGGCTCCATAAAGTCTGTGCAGAAATAAAATCCTTCCAGTGTTGGTGAAGTGCTTGAAGCTTTTGCCGTAGATTTAAAAATCACAGATCCAACCATTGCTGACATTCGCTTAAGGAAAGACTGTCATTCAGTTCTCATTAAAATTTCACATTAAAAAATTATGGTCGGTGCAAAGGGTAGATATGAATAAGGACAGATTGTGTAGTAAAAGGAGCTCTGACAAGTTTTTGTCTTTATGACACTGATTGACATCAGTCAAGGCACTTAAAAGAGTCTTCAGGAATGGGAATTCATTGTCCCTGAGGGCTTGATAGTACTCAGAGAATCTGAAAAAATACAGCTGAATTTTTTAAAATATGGCCATCACCAGCACTTCCAATGAACTTAATAAAAAGGAGGACTTTCTGTGTGGAATTAGAAGGCAATCAAAGTTATCAAAGCATCCATAAAGTAAGGCTCTGACCCCCTGTCAGCAGATGATGGATTTGTTGGAGTCACAGATGAGATTCTACACTTAAAAATGATTTATATTTTGTGCCTAAAAGAATTCAACTACTTACTTTTTAGTCTGGCTTGGAAAAAATACTTCTAAACGTATGCACACACTGCATTGAGCAGTTATAGAAAGTTAGCAGAGACTCTACTTATTTCATTTCTTCTGTTACATCATGGCTTAGCACCGCTCAGGTCAGCAGTTCCACTACCTCAGAACAAAACAGGGCTGATTACTGTGGGTGCTGTAGCATGCTTAGAACTAGAATACAAATAAAAATAGTTGCTTAAGATAATACGCCTGTAGCACAGGATACTGTGGAATTGGAAGCCAATAAACCAGCAGTAGTATCATTATTACATTAAGAAATGATTTGAAATGCGTTTAGTTTCACACCATAGTAAGTACAGACAAAGCCACCACAAACATAGTAATGAAACAGACCATTTATTTTAGCCTGATTTTCTGCCAGTTTGTGGACATTCTGTCTCAGAAGTGTTTGTGATGACTGTACCAATGCCATTATTGAGTTACTGGCTGGACTTACTTATGTCTATACATCTCTATTTTCCCAGCTGACAGGGAAGACTAATCAGAGGAACCTTCAGTTTTCAGATGTCTTCCTGAACAATTTCCTTTCTGAACCTTGCTGTAGCTGAGATTCTCCAAGCAAAGGCAATCTGCAGTTGGCCATGTCCTTTGGAAAGCTGCGTGTTACTTTCTGGATCATCCCAATGCAGTTTCCTTCCCTTGCTCGTGCTGCGTGAGCTCTTGGCCTTGCTCTGGATGTTTAGATTTTTAATATATTTCTGATCTGTCGCACTTCCCCCCCCCCCCCCCCCCCCATATACAAAAGGTTGCTAGGATAGCAAGTTTAAGGTTGTTAATGACAGTTCATTTTTTCTTAATTTCTCCTTATCCACCTCAGCACGAGTTCACTGATGGCTCTACATCACAAACGGGAAACCTCTCTAGCAACTCTTTTACTCTTCTACCAGTGTAAGCCATTCCCTTGTCCCCATGGGTTTTGGAATCCGAGTTGTCGGCTAAGCCTGCAGGCAATATAATTGATAGTAATTATATCCATCCATTAATAGCGGCTAGCAGCAGCAGCTCAATACTTGAGAGCCATTGGCAATCCGCTTACCGTTTCAATTTCTAAATTGATCTCTGGAGTCGGCAGGAATTAGAACCCAAAGGAAAACATATTTTCGTTATCTCTGCCTTTCCAGATCTCTCCAGAAGGTTGCCGGGGCACAGAATTCCCTAACCCTTCCTTCGGTCCCCAGACACCGCAGTCATCGCCGTTCCTCGTGCAAGATGGAGAGTCCTTGCTGGCCAGTATCTGCCCGTTGCGAGCGCGGGGCTGCCGGCCTCGGTGGGCTACCCGAAGGGAGCGGAGGGAGCCGCAGCTCCGCCCGGCGGCGGGGGAGCGGAGCCGGCCGTCGGCTCGCGCCCGGCCTTTGAGGTGGGGGCACGCGGAGCGGGCGGCTCGGGGAGGGATGCCCCCGAGAGGCGCATGCGCCCCGCGAGCTCAGCGCTGCGTGACGAGATCGCTCGGGCAGCATCGGGAGGCCGCCTCGCTCGCTCATAGGTTGCCTCCCGCCGGCGGGCGCGCGCCCGCGACGGAGCTCTTCCGAGTAGGGCGCGCGGGGGCGTGCGCGCGCGAGCGAGCGAGCGCCGTCGGTTGCTCCCGCCGCGCTCGCCGCCCGGCGCACGCCCCGCGCGCTCCTTGTTGTCAGCCGCTCGCGCGAGCGCTCCCCGCCCTCGGCGCGCGCGCCCTGTCAGCGTCTCGCGCGCCGTCTCAGTCCGCCGGCGGCTCCGCTACGCGACGGCGGGTTCCCGCTTCCGTCCCCGCAGCCGGGCGTCCGTTCCCCTCGCCTCAGCGTCTCCTCGCGCCCCGCAGCTTCGGCCGCGGCAGCGCAGGCCCCGCCGGCGGCGCCGCACTCGGGTAAGGGGATGCGGGGGCTGCGCGCGAACCGCGGAGGCGGGGAAGCGGATGCCGAGCCCGGAGCGGGCTGCTCCAGCCCGCGCTCCCCATCCCTTCCCCCGGGCCTGGCGCCGCCGCCGCGACTCCGGTGCTGCTCGGCAACCGCCGCCGCTGCCACCGCCGGGAGGGGAAATGGGGGAGGGGGCAGGGGGCCGCCCCCCGCTGCGCGCCGCTCCCCGCCCGCTCCTCACCTGCGGAGCGACGCCGGGGCCTGAGCCGCCTCCGCCCGGCGGGGAACGGGAGGCTGGGGCGGCCAGCGGCGGCCGCGACACCGCCGGAGGTTGCGGGGCCGGGCCGGGCCCGGGGGGCGGCGGGGTGCCCGTGGCGGGGACGGGCGCCGGGCCGTTTCGCCGTCCCGGGAACCGCGGCCGCCCGAGGGGACGCTCCGCTCCGGGCTGAGAGATGGAGGCGGAACCCGGGGCCGGCGGGCAGCCGGGAGAAGCGCTCGCTCTCACGGGGTGTGGAGCCGCGCCGGCTGCCGCCTCGGGCGACCTTTACCGCGTTTCAGTACGTTTACTTGCTTCGGTCGCGGGCTTTGTTGGTGATGAGGCCTTTTTTTCCTCTCAAGTTTGCGCTCAATGTCTCGGGTCCGTCGCACGTGTATGTGCTCGGTGTCCCTGGTGTTCTCCGGAGGCCGGGCTCGTGAGCCTCTGCTTTCGGAAGCTCCTGACTTGAGGGGACAGAATAGGCGGTTGCGGAGGGAAGAGCGATGAGCGAGTTGCGGGGTTGGGCTGAGCATCTCGTCAGTCGCACTGTTACTCGGTGCTGTTTGCTGCTGCTGCTCGGCGCTGTTTGCTGCCTCGCGCTGTGCTCCAGGTGGTACCGAAGAGCCTCGAGGCACAGCCGTCAGCTGACGCACTGAAAGATCCTAAGTTCCTTGGGGCAGTGCTAGCCTTTGTGCGCAGGGTGCCCGGCACGGTGTAACGTTCAGCAAGGTGATGTCAGGTGCTGTGATCCATGCGCTGCTTGGGTGTGGAAGGGGACAGCAGGCAGGTGTTCAGAACGCTCACGACTTTGCCTGTGATATAAATAGTGTTTGTGTGTACATCATTAAGTAAGCGCGCACCAACGCTTCACGCCAAAATGCAGTGTTTTGATGTCTTTGTTTCTAGGCGTTAACTGAAAGCTGATGGAGTAAATGCTTCAGAACGAATGCTTATGCATATGAAGCATTTTTGGATGTGATAGCATTAGTCAAATTTTGTTCCAAGTTACTTTCCAGTGTACGTTATCATAAACTTCAGAGAAGTCTGAGATCCAGAAACAAATAAATGGTCAACGTTGGCTATGCTGCTGCTTGTGGCTATTTTACAGACGCCTCTGTTACAATTCCTTCCGTTATTAAAGAAGCCCGGTTATTAGGACTTATCAATTGGTGACTATGCTTTAAGTATTTCCAGTAATATCCGTTTCTCTGGTTATTACAGGTATGCTTAGTCTTGTGCTTTTACGATACTTGTTAGTGTTTCATGTGCTAAAGCTGGCAAACCATGATATTGCAAAGTTTGCATATTTTCCCAACAAAATATAATGAGACAACCATTTTTCAGTATTGAAAGTTTAATCAATTATTCATATTTTCTGAGGAAGCAGCTCAGTAATGAGGGGAGAATAGGAATCATCTAGGAATATCAAATCATGCAAATGGACTAATTGAGTGATGCTGCTGCCAGGACACTTGGTAGCATAGAAATGCAGCAGGTCTGGTTGCAAGTTGTAACTTTCATTTTCTTTATAACTGGCAAAATTCTAAACAAATCAAGAGATGTTGGCTGAGCAAGTTGTAAGACGTTACATCTATTAGAACAAGAAAAATAAATTAGTTAATCTTGCTGGAATACAGATCTATATTTTAAGTGAATTAGTGAAGGTAGTACTAAACCACATAGTGACTTCCTTTTGTTTTGGCATCTGTGGTTTATGAACGCTCTCAAACAGAGGCTTGATTGTATAATGAAGTTACCATATTACCCATTCATAGGATTGGTCTGAAAAATTGCATTTTCAGTCCACTCCTGTCTCTCTGTAGCTGTACAGATTTGCCTCTTATCTGTCACATCTCTCTTGAATCGAATGATTTTTTTTCAGCCCTGGTATTTATGTACAGTAAGAAATAATAGAAGATATTTTTGCGCTTACATTCTTTGATCAGTGTGTTCATTGAGATTTGAAGGGATAAAGAAAGCTTTTAAATTTCATTGCAGTCAGAATTAAAAAAAAAAAAAAAAAAGAAGTAATGACTCTGATGTTAGGGCGGTCTGGAGGGGGAGCTAGTGTCAAAGTAAAATGGGACTTTCTTTTCTTCTAGACTTACATAAAGCTTTCTTTTTGGTCACAGAGTATGCTTCCAATACAGTAAGGAAAACAAATGTAGATGATGCATGTTGTGTATGATTGCATTAATATGCATCTCTTTTATAGGCCAAATGTAATCTGCAGATGAAGTGATATGTGTGCTTCTTAAAGAAAATCATGCATATGTTTTTCTATTGTGCAACAACGGGCATCTTCAAAGAACTCTGAAGTTGCAAGATCAAGCTTTCATAAATCACAAAATGCCAGAGATTCTTGTCAAACTGCAATTTGGCCTGTAAATATGTGGTTAATTGTTATGTTTTCCCCTACAACGTGTCTTTTATTGTTTGGAGTAGAACGAAGCTGGTTGTGTTCAGTGACCAACATGGAGTAGTTATTTTTCTTGGTACCAATGGCCTCACTATTTGTTATGTGCTGCTCTTATGGCACCTCGTTACCTTCCTCTTTTCCTGTTTCATTGCCATCAGACTCCAGCCCTTGCATGTTTCTCTAGAAATATTGTCACAGTTCTCTGGAGATGTGTTGTGTCCCTTCATGTTGAATATCCAATCTGGGGCTCTTAGGACATTTTTCAAAATTAGCAGTGCTTTAATGATCTGCATGCACTGAAATGCTTTCTAAAACAGACCTGTCTCCCTGTGTAATCCACTAACCACAGCCTGCCTTTTCCTTCTGACTTTTTTTCTGTAAGTTACTTAGCAGGGATCAGTGAATGGCCTCGCTGCAGAAGTTCTCACTGCTTGATTTGTCGTTTGGTGTCTGTCGATTTAGACTGTTTGATTTAAATGTTTAGATCTACTGTGAAGTTAGCGTTGACATATGAAGTCCAAAATTTTAATTACCTAATAAATTCTTAATTTAAAAAACAAAAAACAAAAAAACTTGCCTACAAGGAACAGTACCCATGGGATATCACTGAGAAACAGTTCAGATGCCAGTGGTCCATCTTGATACTCAAAAAATGAGCAGACATATCAGATGATCTTGGTGTCTGATCTCCTGTGAAAGAAAGGAATATTAAAACAGTGGAAGGACAGAGTACAGAGGAGCAATGTTTCAATGACTGGACTCAGAGTAGTGGTTAATGGCTCATATCTGGATGTCAGTAACAAATGGGATGCTTTGGCATTGATTCTGAGACCTTGAGAAGGTGATGGAATATTCTCTTACGTTTGTGGAAGGTACCAAATTGAGGTCTACAAGCATGAAGGCAGGGCTGGCATGCAGGGGCACTTTTGCACCATGGAGAAAACGCCCAGCCAAAACTTTATGAAATTCAACAATTGCCAATTCACCCAGGCCAATTGCAAAGCCTTGTGCCTGGGCAGAAAGGGCTCCTCGCAGTGATATGGGCTGCACAGTAGCTCCTCTGGGAAGCTGTGGCAGCAAACATCATGGGCCAGCAGTGGTGTGCTGATCCAACAGGAGCATCGCCATTGAGTGGAGGAGAGGGATTATCCCTCTCTCCATGAAACCCATCAGACCACATCTGCAGTGCTGTATCCAGGTTTGAGACCCTCAACACAGTAAAGGTGCTGATAAAAACTAAAATGAGTTCAGGAGAGGGCTGTCAGGATGGTTAGGGGCTGGAGCGCTCGCACTATGAGGAGAGGCTGAAACACCTGGGCTTGTTCTGCTGGTGAAGGGGCAGTTTCAGGAGATGCAACAGCAATGTTCTGGTACCTTTGAGGAGATCTGGGAGAAGAGGGAGCAGTGCTCTTTACTGAGCTATGTGGTGGGAGTGAAAGGGGCAGTGATCGTAAGTTGACACAAGATTGACTGGATATAAGGAAAAACTTCCTTTGCATGAGCGTAGTCATACAGTGGAAGTGTTTCTCACAGAAGTGACTGCTCACACATTGCTCTCTGTCTAAAAGGTTTTTGGTACCCAACTGCACAACAAGCTACTTGAGCTACTTGATCTGATCTTATAGTTGACATGAGTTTGAGAAGGTGGTCGGGTGAGGAACGCGTGGGAGTCCCTTCCAACACTGATTGTCCCATGCATCCAGCGCTGCAGGTGCTCGGCTCCCAGAGGCTTTCTGTTGGAATGCAGTCAATACAGGCAGAATGTTTAGGTGACTCAGCTGTAACGCACCAAAACAAAATAACAAAGTTGCAGTCAGCTTGACAAAAGCACCAGTTGTCATTCAGGATGTACCTTTTGCTGTCTCTTAGGAAGATGCATGTGGATCTCAAAGCATGCAAATGATGAAACTTTCTAAAGAAAAGATAGCCTTTGGTAATGTGAAAGTGTGTTTTTCCTGCCCCTGTCTT